AATGTATTAACCGTAAAACAGACGACTATATGTCCAGGATGGCTCACGAGAAAGACAATTTTAGAAGGTTTTCAGTAATCTGAGAATTTCGTGTTACACGAAATTGGGTCGTGGCGCGCGTTGCATCAAGGGTGAAAATGGGCCTTTAACTGGGTAGCATCATCCAACCCAACCTAGATCTCTTACAAAAGAAAACTTGGAAATGGCCAATTGCATGCAGTCCTGTCAAGGAAGTTTAAAGCTTAGGATGCACTTGTTTCATATCTTCAAGGTTTGTAGCGGAGAATTTTTTATACTGGCGCTTTTGTACCTGTGTGATGTTATGGGTGTGATGCAACCCAATTGAAATTCGCTATCTGTACTTACAATTACTGTCTTCCTCAATTTCGTTATTGTTGGACTCACCAGGCTGACTTGCCGTCGAAATGGCTTCCTCAAAAGTTCTGCTTCCACCATCTTCGGTAACCTTCTGTGATACAAACACATAAGGCAACTAGAGCAATATTATATGGCACACTACAAAATCGAGCTTACTGGTAATCTTTTGAACGAAAGTTGGCTGTTTAGGTTTCTTAAGAAGACTTTGACTCCTTACTTAGCGTTTGTGTTATTGATGATATTTTCAATAGTAACTAGCATTTGCATTTGCTGCCTATCCTTATATGTTTAAAGATTTTCCAGGTATACCCCATAATACTTATGAAATGAGTCGTATATTGACTTTTGTAGGAGACAACCGTGGATAAATTAACTCAGTCACAGGTCAACTACAGTTAAAATCATTTAAATTTTGATTGTGTAGGCCATGATAATTGACTTGATCCTCCTCTGCTTTTGTTAAACTTGTCACTCATTCAAAAATTCTCTTTATCTCTCGGAATAAACTGAACTGAATAACCAAAAATTCTTTAATCATCAGCACTTCTTAACGTTTGTCTCGAAAGGGTTAGCAAACTTTTAAATATATATTACAATATCATAGTTTTTGATTTTTCAGTCTGATTTGTCTTTTTTGATTTTAGCCAAAACTTATAAATAAGCATTAAAAACTCCAGCTTGCAGTTACCGATTAAAAGGTTTTGCATCATTTTGTGGACAAACTAGAACAGCAAAACTGAAGTCAAATCGAACTGATTAAACTACCGAAGCATGGCGTAACAAAATGCGGAAAGCAGCGCCAATGCCTTTTTTTATCGGTTAGTCGCGTTGGATCTTTAGCTAGTCATGTTTCTTGTCGACCAGCTGCGTACAGTAACGCAGCTCGATAAATGGGTTGCCATTGATCGGATGAATCGGATTTTTTGTGTTACGCGCAAAGGACTCTGGGATCGTTAGGAAGGAAACAGTGTAAGTTGCTAGAAGGATAGTTCATTGATGAGCTAGTGAACATTATATTGAAATTTATTTTGAATGCAAATCCATGGCACTGACAAAAGTTCACTGGTTTTTCGTACCGATGAAATATAGCTAACTTCCAATTTGATACCTTATTCCTTTCATAAGCGAAGTCTGCGAAGTCGTATGCCAAATAGGAACTGTATCACTTGAAGGCCGTTTATTAAAACGAACTACTTATGTATTAGTCTGATACTGATGCTAGAAATGTGCGTAGAAAAAAAAAGCCGGACATTTTAGAAACAGTAATAGAATTCTTGTGTCGTACATTTTATCAGCTTCTTTCGAAGGCTTTTTCACCACTGTGTCGTATACTTTGTTAAATATTGACAATCAACACACACCTGGCTGACGTTGATTTGTTCCCTTTTAGCGGTCATCGATGAGGTCGGCAAGGCATGCGTCTCTCCATGAATTAATTCTATGTGTGTGGTAATGTTCTTTGGCTGCCGTAAAATTATGGAAAGAAAGGGAACCCTGATAAATTTGTGGCCTTCCAACGTCATTAATTGTAACCCCATAGTCGAACCAAAAAACAAGATACTTCTCATAGGACTCACAACCCTTACCAAGAGAAAATGAATCCCCTTATTTTCTCGTGTTCTTACTTATCATCATTTTACAAATGATATGATTGTCTGATTTAATCAAGATAAACCAACCTTGAAAGCAGTAAATGTTTTACAAATATGGCAATGATAATGAGGTTTCTGTTGTCGGCCTGAAACACATGGGTTTTCTACGTCTTGATTGTACTCTGCTGGACAATTCGTATAACGTTTAAGTTTCTTCGTTGTTGCCATGAAGCTCTAGAAAAATAACCAATAAAGGGAGAAAAACAGTGTACTCAGTTTCCTTGCTGCTTAGTTGATTATGTCAAATTCCCTCTTAAAATTTGGAATACATGAATAAATAAATAAACTAGAAGCGGAGCTCGCAGCGCGCAAAGCGTAGCCCATAACTTATAGAACATAGTAGTAACCCATAAAGCCGAAACAATTTGGACTTACGACCGTACGACCGACCGTACAACGTGTTACTTTTAGCATGCGCGGCCAACTGCAGTGCGGGCGCTATTTTAGCCATTACGTAATGGAGGGGTGAGGGGGAAGGTAATGTGCAGGCGCAATTGCATGCGTAACTTGAATACCCCATT